TGAGACCACGTGACAGCCTCAGTCCTCCCTCAGAGCCAGTCCAAACACCCCTCTGAGGGCTTCTTCCCTGGGGACCAGTGAATGCCGTGCACTCATGGATCCCCTCTAAGGATTCAATTTCTTGGAGAGTATGGCTTGTCTTGCATTCTTGTTTTTTGTGGGTTTCCCCCCCCCACAACTGTGCACACCCTAACAAGCACCTCCAGCAATACCACAGGGAATGAACCAACGAAGGGATGAAGGGATACAATGACGTGCAAGCCTGTGATTCTGGTTGTATGGCACTCTGTGGCTTTCACCTCGGTTAACGCAGTTAACCCTCATGGTCATTTGTCAGCCAGGTGACTGTGGTTACTGCCTGTTAGACAGGTGAGGAGACTAAAGTGTCCATCCGTTCCCAAGGTCACCGGTTAGTCATTGGTGAATGAAGGAATCCTTTCTGGGCTTGGCTGGGTTTCCCTCATGCAGGCTTGGGATCAGGCGCCTTCTTCCCTGATTTTACCCCAAATCCCATCCTGACAGTCCCTGGCTCCCCAGCTCCCAGAGTCTTTGGGGTTACAGAAGCCTGAAGCTCACCCGAAACTGGTTTGGCTCAGTGGATAGAGCGTCAGCCTGGGGACTGAAAGGTCCCAGGTTCGATTCAAGTCTAGGGCATGTACCTGGGTTGTGGGCACATCCCCAGTAGGGGGTGTGCAAGAGGCAGCTGATCTGATCGATGATTCTCTCTCATCAATGTTTCTAACTCTCTATCCCTCTCCCTTCCTCTCTGTAAAAAAATCAATAAAATATTTTTTTTAAAAAAAGAAGCCTGAAGCTCTGTAAGCCCAGCAGGTGGTGGGGGTGCAGCCGCTGCCTCCTGCTCCCCTCTTTTGAGTGCATGGAATTCTAACCCCACCTCACCCACTCCCCAGTGAGCAAGGGTGAGCCTCCCAGCCTAGGGTGCCTCAAGCAGAAATGGAGGAGGAAGCAAAAGGCTGGGGCATCTAGCCTGTTCTCCTAGGGTGACAGAGAGCAGGAGGGCTACGGGGCCGCAGGTCCAGCGATGCTCCACGCTTACCTGTCCGAGGGGCTCAGGGGCCCTGGGCCGGTCCACGCGGGGCCTCGCTCCGTTAGACCGGGGTGTGTATGGCACGGGAGAGTTTCTTAAAAAGCGCAGCCGCCCTGAGCAGGCAGCCGGGTTTGCAAAGCGCAGCGGCTGCTGGGGCCGCTCTGCAAGCGTTAGCACCTGCGCGCCTGCAACGCCCACGAGCGTGATCACGCGCCTGTAACACACAGGTGCGTGGGATGCCCACGTGACAGTGCCTGAGAAGATGCAGAGAAAGTTGCTCCTTTGTATTTGGGCGTCTGCCAAGCCCATCACAACCCCAAGGAGCGGCTGAGCGCCAGGGGTGGGCGGGAACAGGGAAATCCAGCCCCAACCAACACCTTAAAGCTTCTTTTTTTTTTAAAAAATTATATTTTGTTGAATTTTTACAGAAAGGGAAGGAGAAGGATAAAGAGTTAGAAACATTGATCAGCCAAAACCAGTTTGGCTCAATGGATAGAGCTTCCGCTGTCGGACTGAAAAGTCCTGGGTTCGGTTCTGGTCAGGGGCATGTACCCTGGTTGCGGGCACATCCCCGGTGAGGAGTGTGCAGGAGGCAGCTGGTCGGTGTTTCCCTCTCATCGATGTTTCTAACTCTCTATCCCTTTCCTTTCCTCTCTGGAAAAAAAAAATCAATAAAATATATTTTAAAAAGAAAAGAAAAGAAACTCGCTGCTAACAAGCCCAGGAACCCCCGTCCTCACGGTCCTGGGCGCTCGGGGCTGAAGCCGACCCCAAAACCATGCGGGGTTTGGGCTGCGGAGCTGGGCGCGGGCGAACGCCCCGGAGACAAGCGCCCGGGCGGCGTGCACGCAGCGGGCCAAGGCTCCTGGCTTTGCTTCGCTGCATGGAGACGGGGAACTTGGCGGGGCGTGTGTGTTTGGTGTGTGTGTGTGTGTGTGTGTGTGTGTGTGTGTGTGTGTGTCTGTGTGTCTGTGTCCCCGCGCCCCCCTGTGCACCCGATGGGGGAGCGAGGATGTGAGCCCCCCGCCCGCCCTCCCCGGCGAGCCGCACGCGGGTAGCGGTCCCTCCGCTGCGTCCGGAAACCTCGATCGGAGCGCTTGGCCCTCGATCGCTGAGGACGGGAGGCTGGGGAGCTGGGGAGACTGAGTCCCGATCCGAGCAGAGTCGGTACAGCTCACAGACGAGGGCGAGGCCTGGGGCGCCGGGAAGTGTTGAGGTCCCTCTGCTCCGGGGCGAGGCCCCTCCCGGCCCTGCGGCTTCGGCGCGCCCTCCGCCCGGAGAGGCGATCCGGCTCTCCCGTCAGGAATTTCCAGCTTCCCTAGCCGCCCCTACCGGCATCCAGCGCCCCACCGCCCCCAGGGAAGACCCCAGCCAGCCCGGGGTGGGGCAATCTGAGCCGAATTGCGGGTTTCCTCCCGACACCCCGCCTGCGCGCCCGCCCGCCCGGAGAGGCCCGGTCCTGGGACAGCTTTTTGAAGTGAGCTTCTCCTTCTCTGGGTCTTGAGATTCTCGGTCCATGAAAATGTGGGAGAACACCACTGCGCAGGGGAGAGAGCCCCGCTAGTATTTCGCCGGGAACGTGTTCAGGAACGGAATTGGGGTTAGCAGAGGAAGGGGTGCCTGCTACCAGCCTCTGGGAGCCTCCCCCCCATCTCCCCCGCCCCCCAAGGTACCCGCCTCCCAGCCCGCCGCGCCCTCTAGTCTGTCTGGCTGAACCTGGCGGAGAGGAGGCCTCATTTTGCCCGAAATTGCATCAGGGCAGTCCCTGGCCAAAGAAGAAAGAATGCCTTCACTTCGGGAAGACTGGGCCCAAGCGGGGATGTGGGGGTGCAGGCCCCCCCCCCACCCGCAAGGGGCAGGGTAGCTCTGGGGAGCATAAAGCAAAAGCTCTGCCCCTTCTTCTCCCCAGCCGGGCCCTGCGCCAGGTGCACATCCCGCTTCGTGACTCTCCTTAACGCCAGAGCTGGGTTCAAGCGCTTCCTAATTCCATGTTTTTGGGAAGTCCTGGTTCCAGGATTCCAGTGCTTGGGGCTCAGGAGAAAAGGGACTTCCCTAAATAAAGGCAAACTTGGGGTACAGAGAGAATGCAGCAGAGCCTGTGGGAGGAATAAAGGAGCCACCGCAGACCCAGACCCGGCCTGGAACCCCAGGGCAGGTGCGGAGGCTGCTCACCCATCTTGAGGCACATTTAGGGGTAACAGCTGGCTCACAGTCCCCTTCAGCTTCAGGTCCCTCCAGGGCGGCCCCAACCTTTCTTTTCTCTTTCTGCCTCGGACCACCCTGGTCTTCCCTCTCCCTCCCCACTGTGCACATTCTTCTAGGGCAGTGTTTCCCAAAGTGTGGTGCGCGCGTAACCCCCAGGGGTACACGTTGCACCGGAGTTTGGTGGGGATATGCACTGCACTGTGCTTAGCTGCGCCTAATTCTACGTTCTCATGAGTATGAGGGGTACTCAGCGTTACGAAAATTATGGAAGGAGTACACATATGTCAAAAGTTTGGGAAACACTGTAGGAATTCCACTTAGAAGAATGGGAGGGCGGGGGGGAGGGGTGACTGGGGTAGGCAATGGTCAGCCTTCATTCCTGACTGTGCTCTGGGACTAGCCCAGGTGCCTGATGCGCCCCACCAGGGAAGGCTAAATCTGGGGTGACTCCTCTGCCCCTGGGCCCGAAAATCCAGAAGGATTTTCAATGTGCTCAAGCAAATGAGTCAAAGTGGAGAAGATGCTAAGCCCAGACAGGGGAGCTTTCCACCCTGGCCCTGGGAGGAGGGGGTCCTAGGTTTGCTGACCTCACATCTCGCAGAAGCACTGTTCTCCATGACAACCAACCACACACACACACACACACACACACACCAGATAACTGGCCCTTAAGAGGCCGGTGCCCTCCCTCCCACAGCCCAGTGCCAAACAGACGTGGGTGATCAGGCTCGTGGACAACAATGGCTACTTGTTTTAAAATCTCCCCAAAGAACTTTTAAGAGACTCCAAACATTTTGTAGTTGCGAGGACAGCTGAGCCGGGGAGGACCTTTGGTCTTGGAACGAGGATTGACTCTTGAACCTTCCAAAAAAATTTTTGCATGGCCTGCCCCACTGGCAGCAGGGGGTTAAAACAGGTTTGCTTTATGCCAGCTGCACTCTCAAATCAGTGGCAATTTGGGGGGAGGGGGAAATCATGTGCCTGCAGTAACCTAATTATGAGGAGAGAGAGAGAGAGAGAGAGAGAGAGAAAGAGAGAGAGAGAGAGAGAGAGAGAGAGAAAGAGAGAGAGAGAGAGAGAGAGAGAGACTCTCGCATGGGTGCAGTTTTGTAGCCCTATCCCTGGCCCAGGGTGAGCCAGGAGGTGGGAGATCTGGTCTCAGGCTCTGCCTCCGTGGGACCTTGAACAAGACACCTTTCTGCCAGGCAATGGCTTGGGCACCTTGACAGCCATCCCAGGCCCTGCCTTCTGGGCCACAACCATTGTGTCCTCCCTGTCCTCCCACCAGGAAACCTCCAGTCCACACCTGAGTAAGGGGTGTGTTGCCCTGAATTGCCTTATGGCTCCAGGTCCAGCACCGGAGTGGCTACTGGGGAGTGTAGGCTGTGTCTACATTGGCCCCAAAGGCAGGCACCACCACCACCGTCTTCTCCATCCCAACTCCACATCTTCCTAAAACCTGAGTCCCGACTTTCCGTGGGGGAAGCCATCTGCCCCTAACGGTTTCTATGGCCAACTCAGCTCGCAGGCCACACTCAGGGTCACCCAACGGCCGCTGACCTGCTGGAGCCGCTTGGCCTCAATCCCATCCATCTCTGTAGCCACGTGGCTCTGAGGTTGCAGCCCTTACACCCCAAAGCTCTAGTCCCCCCCTCCAGCCGCTGTGACCTGCTATCCAGAGCTAAGGCCCAGCTCAGAGATCCCAGACCCTGTGATCGCATCGCCCTGGCCAGCCACGCAGCCCTTCTTTACAAACCGTAGTAAACATTTTATTTACAAGATCGTGGCTTCCTTCCGTGCAGTGCAGCTGTCTTTGCGACCCCCCAGCGCGGGAAGGCACTGCGGAGTCACACGTCACAGTGTGAGCTGCTTGTATCCATCCAGGGGGGGGAAGTGTCCGTCGGGGGTGGGTGGGGGGCACTGAGACGCCCCCAGGCAACTGCGCAATGTGTGGGCTGAGCCACCAGGCGGCTGGCAAGGGCAGGAGGCGACCCTGGCGAAGGATGCTCCACCGATGATGGGTCTCCGGCCCTGTCCAGGCGCGGCCAGCACCATGGAGGAGGCGCACCAGATCCAGCGGCGATGGGAGGCCACGGCCCAGGTCCCCTGCGCCCTGGTCCAGTCTAGGGGTCTCCGAGAGGCGGCTGGGCGGGCTCTGGGCTTTCGGGGGCGCTGCTGAGGCTGGGCTGGGGCGCAGGGAGCAGCTCTGGGGCCAGGCCTCCACCGATGATGCTTCTCTGGCCCCGTCCTGGCGGCCAGCACCATGGAGTAGGCGCACCAGATCCAGCCGCGCACGGCAGGGTCCCCTGCACCCTGGTCCAGTCTACGGGCCCCCGAGAGGCGGCTGCGCGGGCTCCGGGCTTTTGGGGGCGCTGCTGAGGCTGGGCTGGGGCGCAGGGAGCATCTCCGGGGCCAGGCCTCCTCCGCTGCTGCCCAGACTCCCGGCGATCGCCGTGCCGGTGCCGCCGAAGCTAAAGCTGCCGCTGCCCCCGCTCCCCACGGCGGGCAGGAGCGCGCCGGCCCCCGGGGCCTTGATGACGGTGGTCTGGTGCGGGGAGCGCTCGGCGGCGGCGCCCTCGGTCCGCTCCGTGTCGCTGGGGGCCATGTCCAGGGACTCCGAGTCGCTGCTGTCGCTCTCGGCCTCGCCCTCCTCTGAGCGGCTGGGGCTGTGCTCCTCCTCCTCCTCCTCGGGCTCCCCGTCCGCCGCCGCTGCCCCCGGGGCTGCTCCGCCCGCCGCCAGCTTCTCCTCGTCCGCCGCCTCCTGGTCCTTGTCCTTCTGGGCCTGCGCCTCCTTGGAGTGCCGCCACTTCATGCGCCGGTTCTGGAACCACACCTTCACCTGCGCCAGGACAAGACCGGGAGGCGGCGGTGAGACGAGGGGCGCGGTGCCATCCGACGGGGCGCGCACCCCGGAGGCACCCCCAAAGGCGCCTCTGGGATGGGACGGGCCCTGAGCTAGGTGCTGGGGCCCGGAGGATGCCCAGAGGCGAGAAAAAAGGAGATCGCCAGGGGTCCCTGCCCCAGGACGCACTGGGCCTGCGTCTCCAAACGCTGCTGCTCTCCAGATGCCAGCCCCAAATGGCCTGGGTACTTGTTGGAAAAGGCAAATCCTAGCCAAAACCGATGTGGCCCAGTGGATAGAGCATCGGCCTGCAGTCAAGGACATGTACCTTGGTTGCGGCCCATCCCCAGTGAGGTGTAAGAGGCAGCTGATGAATGATTCTCTCTGGTTGATGTATTCTAACTCTCTATCCCTCTCCCTTCCTCTCTGTAAAAAAATCAATAAAATATATATTTTTTTAAAAAAGTAAAAGAAAGGCAAATCCTCATCTGCAAACTGGGGGGGGGGGGGGGGGAAGAATCATTCTAAATCGATGCTTCCCTGAACCCCACCTGTGTCAGAACTTTCCTTCCCAGGAATCTGAGCGACCCATGGCCCAGAAAAAGGCACCTATCCCCACAATTTCATGCACCAAAGGTGAATCGATGTTACCAATTTCTGCTACGTAGGCCCCCTCTCCTATGCAAGTCCCTCCAAAAGCGATTTTTTTAAAGGAGGGACTGTAGGAAGCACAGAGGGGGGAAGGGGGTTCAAAGAGTGGATCCCAGAGGTGGGGGTACCCCTGGACCTTTCCAGGGAAGAGCAGCTCCTTGGCATGATGGCACCCAGCCCCTAACCAGGATAAAGTAACCCCGCAGTGAGCTCAGAAAACTCTGGAATCAGACCTGTGTGCACCGTGGAGAAAGCGGGTAGGGATGGGGCTGGGGCCGGGGAATCTATATAAATACAGACGATTCCCCAGGGGGACCCAATGCCGTTCACACAAGTTCCAGCTTCCCTTTTAAAAATAACATCCCCAGCTGGGCCCTTCCAGTGCGGTGGTGCCGGGGAGGGGAGTTGTGCAATGGAGGACAGAGAGACCCAGAGTTTGGGGGGGGGGGGGGAGAAGAGAGACACCAATAGGCGACATAAAAAAAAAAAAACGTGCCTGCCGTTGGCTTATGCCTGCTCAGAACATTGGGTACCCATGGGGAGTGGCACAAGGGTGACTCTTTTAGTTTCAAAATTCAAAAAGGAAAAAAAAAAATCCAGTTCTTGAATTCTAGGTTGGGGGGGGGGGAGAATTCGGACATTGAAGGCAGGCATGATGGATTTGTTATTTTCTTGAAAAGTATTCAAGTATGCAGAGCCCAGAGCCAGCCGCGATGGTCTGGAGCATTCTAAGAAACCCCTTTTCCTTCTCTTCCTCCCTCACTCTCTCCCCCGGCTCCAGGCCCCGAGATTTTTCATCAGAGCTTATGCCGTTAGAAAATCGGACTGTGGCCGCTCCACGCGGACTCCTTGCCCCCGACCGGGGCGAAGTCATTCCGTTTGAAATAATGTTTTCACTTCCTCACAACTGGGGATTTCACAATCCCGCAGCAGCAGAAGGAGGGGGGGCGGGGAGGATGGAAGATTAAAAAAAAGGAAAAAAAGAAAAAAGGAAAAAAAACGCCAACAACAATCCTTTGCCTTCGGATTTCTGTCTCTTCTGAAATAAACTGCTTCCTACAGCGAATTGCAGCCGTAATTATTGTCTCCCGCAGCCTGTTTGCTTTCTCAGCGGTTCCCTGGCCCGCTGGCCAAAACTAACAGGCGCTGCCTACGGACACACATCTTTGGAGATGGACTATGGCCTTCGGGCCCTCTCCTCCTCGCCCTCCTCTCTCTCCTGCCTCTTGTCGGGGAGTGCACAGAGTCTCCCGAAATCCAAGGCCTTGTGTGTCCAGGGAAGGACAGTGGGTGGGGTGCAGGACGGGTCCGCGGGCCTGGGACAGACCGACTGCCTTTGGGCCTGCAAACCAGCTGGCTTACCTGAGCATCTGTGAGGCCCAGCATTGCCGCCAGCTGCTTCCGGTCGGGCTTGGTCACGTACTTCTGAATCTCAAACCTCTTCTCCAGGCCTTTCCTCTGCAGGTTGGAGAAGACCGCCCGTGACCATGAGCGCTTCCGCTTGTAGGTCTGAGGCATCGTGTCCTTAGTGAGCACGGCATAGGGACCTGCGGGGTGGGGGGTGAGGGATGGGAGCAAGAGAGAGAGAGAGAGAGAGAGAGAGAGAGAGAGACACACACACAGGAGGACCGAATTAGTGCCCCGGGCCTAGGGCTCAAGGTACTGCTTAAAAATGCTTACCCATGGGCCCTCCCCGCATTCACAGCTTTTGAGAAAGCAACGGAAAGGCCTAAAGCAAGTGTATTGTCTGAGCTGAGAAGCTCAGCATGTCATCCATTAATTTCAAAGGTAAAAGGGTAATGCTGATGCTTGGCTATCAGACACTGGGAGGACAGGCGAAAATGTCCCCCCCCCCCCCAGGCCTGAAGAAGCTAGAGATGTCAGCTATTCCCTCTCTGTCTCTCTCATCTCTCTGGTGTGTGTGTGTGTGTGTGTGTGTGTCCAGGGGCCCATGCGGAGGACCCTAGAGGCAGATTCCCGGAGCAAAAGGGTTTGAAGTCATTTCACAATCTGTGTGCGTGATAATAAGCAACGCCTCTTGCAGCTGAATTTTCAAAGCCCTCACCCCTGCCCCTCCCTACCCATCCCACCCACACCCCGAAAATACTTTCTGGGTTCCCCAGGCCCCCACCCCTTCCCTGTGGCAGCGGGCAGAGAGGGAGAGAGGGACCCAGCTCCTGGGGAGAAATCTTTCGGTTTCTCTCCCGCGACACGGTGGCCCGTTCGGGGATGGCTATAGGGCCGGCGCCACGGGAGGCATCGGTCCCGAGTTTTCTAAGGGGCGGACTCGCCCGTTCAGTACCTGGAAACGTGTCTTGAAACTGATGCTGGACTGAGTTCCTGGGGTTCGAGCTTAAGGGGCTGAGGATGGCAGACGCCTCGTTCATGGGGTCTAGCGACGCGAAGAGCTGGCCGGCGGAGGGCTGCAGGCCTGGGAGATGCAGCCCGGCAGACCGGCCGGCCGTCAGCAGGGACGTGAGATCTGGGACCAGGCGAGAGAAGAGCTGGTTACTTCAGGCAAACCCACACCCTTTGGCCTGAGGTGTTCCTCCGCTCTCCCCCGCGCCCTGGATTGATTTGGTTTCCCTGATGCAGACCCCTGTCTCCACCCCAAGCCCCTCTCTCCGGATTGTGGACAAAGGGGTGATGCAAGAAACGACCTATCTGTCCGTGTCCACGCGGGTATAGCCCGGAAGGGCTTGGTTTTAAAAACACGAAATCCCTCTCAGGTGCCTTTGGAGAATCCCAGACCTAAACCGGCCGCCGGAAGAGCCTGCTCTGCCCTCTCCTCTGGGGAGCTGGGAGTCCCATTTGTTTCGCCACATTCCTGGGGCGGAATTTCTCTCCAAATCAGACACACGGACGAGAACGTGCTCCCCAAAAGGGCTTTTGAAAAACAAATCATAGAGTTTCCTCTCTAGAGATGTGATTCAACACAAGGGATGGTCCCTTTAGCAAACGTTTCCAACAACAATTCGTATGCACATGGACTCTGAAGAGCGGTGTTTTTGGTTTGTTTTTTTAAAGCATTCCTGGGGTCTTTTTATTATCATTATTATTATTATTATTATTATTATTATTATTTTTACATAGAGCAGGTGAGTTTTAAAACCTAGTGTTTCAGGGTCTTCCCACAATTGATTTTTTTCTCCCTCCTTTTAATCAACGTGCCCTTCGTTGTAAAAACACCCAAAAGTGACCCCAAATGGCCCAGGGACCCGGTCAGAGGCCTCAGGCCTCGGGGCCCCCAAGACCTACCTCTCAGCGTGTTGCCTTCTTTGACTTTCGGGTCAAACTCTGCCGACAAAATGCGGTCAATCCCAAATTTGAGGTCCTTGCTAGAGGGGGCCGGGGCCGAGCCGCTGCTGTGGTGGTGAGGGTTGGGGAGCCCCCGCGCCCCGGAGGAGGAGGAGGAGGAGGCGGGGGGATGCAAGGCGCCCGCCCGGGGAGGGGGAGGCGGAGGATGTTGCTGCAGCGGTTGTTGTTGTTGTTGTTGTTGCTGCTGCTGCTGCTGCTGCTGCTGCGGGTGGTGGTGGTGGTGGTGGTAGGCGGCCGAGAGCGGGGACAGTCGCTGCGGGAAGCCAGCGGGGACTTCGGAGGGCGCCACCACCGGGGTGGGGCGAAGCGGGGACCTGGCGGCGGCGGCGGCGGCTTGGAAAGAGGCGTGCGGGTGGTGCGCCGAGCTCAAGTGCGCGGTGAGGGCAGCAGCCGAGGCTCCGGCCAGGCCCTCCGGGGCCGCCCCGGGCTCCCCGACGTGCAGGATGTCCGCGATGCAGAAGGAGGGCTTCTTGACCGCGGCGGCGGCGGCGGCGGCGGGGTCCAGAGGGAAGGCGCAGCCGCCGCCCGGGCCGGCCGAGGAACAGTACGCGGCCGACCAGAGGCTGAAGTTGGAGGCGTAGAAGGGAGCCAGCCCGGCGGCAAACATCCTGGCGGGGCGGCCGCCTCCGCCGCCGCGGCCTGGCTGGGCCGGAGGATGGATGGATGGGTGGGTGGCTGGGTGGGTGCGCGGGGAGGGGCGCGCCTCGTCCAGGAGGAGGAGGCAGCCGCCCGGCCGAGGAGGACGATTCGCTTTCGGTTCTCGGTGCGCTCCCAGGAGAAGCCAGGGAGCCCCGGCACCACCGAGGGAGGGTGAGGGGGGGAAGGCGAGGGTCAGATCCGTTAGATTCAGCCGGTCCCGGTCGGTCCTGACCTCACGGAAGGCGGCGGCCGGGGACCCGCGCTCCCCGCGGGCTGGAGGCGGGCGAGGGGCGCTGGGGAAGAGACAGGGCCCGGGCACCGAAAGCAAAACCCCAAGAGCTAAGCCCTACGAGCTAAATTTAAAACAACAACAATCATAATCCGTTCGCTTAAAAAAAAAAGAAAAGAAAAAGAAAAAATAAGAGGGGGGAAGAAAAAAAAAAACTCCTCTCTAAAAACTCCCAAAGTTTTGGCAGAAGCTTTCCAGTCCGACTCAGGGTAGGGACCTCGATCTGCGCGCTCATTGGCCAGCCCAAGGGCCAATCAGAGCGCGGCGTGGAGGGAATGGGCAGAGAGGGGCGTGGCCCGAGATAGGCCACGCCCCCAGGCCACGCCCAAGTGCTTGCCGCCGCCGCTGCCGCTGCGTGGGCCAAGCTGGGTTCTGAGCGTCCCTTTCCCCCGGCTCCGGGGAAACTCGGACCCTCCCGGGCTTCCGGCGGCGCCGAACCGGCACCGAATCGGCACCGGGCGAGGAGAGTGGGTCCCAAAGACCCGGAGCCCTCGCCTGGGGAAACAGATCGTCCCGCACCATTGACCGCGCGGCGCCTAGGCTGCCTCCCGGAACGCGCTGGGAGCCCCACTACGTGTCCATCCCTTCTTTAAAAAATATATTATATTGATTTTTTTTTTTTTTTTTTACAGAGAGGAAGAGAGAGGGACAGAGAATTAGAAACACCGATGAGAGAGAACCATGGATCAGCTGCCTCTTGCACACCCTCTACTGGGGATGTGCCCGCAACCAAGGTCCATGCCCTTAACTGGAATCGAACTGGGACCTTTCAGTCCACAGGCAGGCAACGCTCTATCCACTGAGCCACACCGGTTCCGGCGTGTGAACATCAGTGTCCTCGGAGAGACTCCATCTCCCTGAGCTCCGGGGCAGGAATGCGGGGTGGGGGTGGGGGGCTTTAGGGGCCCCGCCGCATGCAGCACCGCATCGTCCTACTCCCCGCCTCCTAAAATCCTCCGGGAGCCCTGGCCGGTTTGGCTCAGTGGATAGAGCATTGGCCTGAGGACTGAAGGGTCCAGGGTTCGATTCCGGCCAAGGGCACATGCCTGGGTTTTGGGCTGGATCCCCATTGGGGGGGTGTGCAGGAGGCAGCTGATCCATGATTCTCTCTCATCATTGATGTTTCTTTTTATCTATGCCTCTTCTTTCCTCTCTGAAATCAATAAAGAAATATATATTTTTTTAAAAACCTCCTCCGGGAGGAGAGGAGGAGCCCTCGTAAATGAGCTTTCTTCTGAGCTGTCACGCGGTGACAACTCAAACGATTGACTTTTCAAACAAAATAAGATGGATGTCTGCCTTGGACGCAGCCAAAACTTTCCCCCACAAGCCTCAAAGACAACAGAAAAAGACCGAAATCCACCTTGTAGGAAGCGCCACCTCCCTGCTCCTCTGCCACCTCCCCAGTCACGTGGGCCCCGTTGTTTTGCAAGTGCCCACAAGAGCCCATTTCCTGGGGGTGAAATGCTACTTTCCCCCCCCCCCTTTTTTTTAAATATATTTTATTGTTTTTTACAGAGAGGAAGAGAGAGGGACAGAGAGTTAGAAACATCGATGAGAGAGAATCACTGATCAGCTGCCTCTTGCACATCCCCTACTGGGGATGTGCCCGCAACCAAGGTCCATGCCCTTGACTGGAATCGAACCCGGGACCTTTCAGTCCTCAGGCCGACGCACTATCCATTGAGCCAAACCGGTTTTGGCTGAAATGCTAACTTTTTCAATTCATCCCCTGCCTAGCCCATGGAGCCCCTTTTGGGGCCTGGCTGGTCGAGGGTGCGGCTGCAGGGGGGCGGCCAGCGCGATGGGGAGGAGGGAGAGGGATGGGGGGGTAGGGAGGGAGGAAGAGGGTACTGGAGGGCGAGTTCTGCAACATCCACGTCTTTATTTTAAGAATTCGTTCTCTTTGTAAATCATAGGACGGATTTCCCCACCCCTCTCCGAAAACAAACCGCAGGCCATCCAGGCGAGCCCCATTGGCACATTTTAAGGAAGAAAATAAAATAATAACGATAATGAAACCACAACGTCTTTTGTTTTCGGTGCTACGGAGAAGCATCTCTTCACAGAGCAGCTGTGCTTCTGTGGCATTAAAAAAACACACAACACACACAACCTTTCAATATAGTTTTGAGGCATTTTAAATTTCACTTTAGCACTGAGGTTTCTTAGCAAACAAGCCCGGGAAGGTAACTGAACTTGCCCGTGTGTTTCGGGGATTTAGGATTGGGGGCTAATTAAATTTATTTTCAGAGGTTCTTAGCTCCTTGTTGTAGAGGTGTTGTCATTTTTAAGCTTTGACTTTTCTCCTGGAATCATCACTGAGTATGCCGCAGCGCTCGCATGCGCGCTCGCTCTCTCTCTCTCTCTCTCTCTCTCTCTCTCTCTCCCTCCCTCCCTCCCTCCCTCCCTCCCTCCCTCCTTCCTTCCCTCCCTTTTGCACTAAAGAGTTTTCTTGCTCAGCTCCGTGCAGCCTGCAGTCGGGGACAGAGGTGGTATTTCCAGCAGCTGCAAAGGCTGAGCATCTGACTGGAGTCCGGCCGGTCAATCGGTCGGGTGCGGCCCCTGCAGCTTCACGGACCTCATTAGGGGAAGCCACCAGCTCCAGAGCGGGTCCCTTTTTCCAGGGTCACTTCCAAGTTCGCTGCAATTCCGATTTGGCCACATTCCTAAGCCCAAACTCGGGGTCCCCAGGCAAGCATTTAGGTCTCACCGCAGGCCGCCCACCCCCCAAAGAAGATGTGTCCCTTGGGGTGGGGGACCCGGGGTGCAGACTGGGCTGGATGCAGGCCCACTCCATCCCTCCCCCCCCCTCCAGGTGCCCAAGACCCGCATCCAAAGCACTTAGAAGAGGCCAGGGGTGCGGGGCAGGCGGGGCGAGGGCGGGACTGGGGAGTCCGGTTCCCCTCAATTCCTACCCCAGCGAGCCTCAGGCTCCTGTCTGATCCAGCAAGGTCAAGGTCGGGGCCGACTCTCCATTGCGCCCTGGCCGATCTGGAGCTCCCGGAGGGGAGCGTACTTCCAAAAGGGACACCTTTGGCCGAAACCAGTTTGGCTCTGTGGATAGAGCGTCGGCCTGTGGACTGAAAGGTCCCAGGTTCGATTCCAGTCAAGGGCATGGATGGACCTTGGTTGCGGTTGCGGGCACATACCCAGTGGGGGGGGTGTGCAAGAGGCAGCCAATCGATAATTCTCTCTCATCGGTGTTTCTGGCTCTCTATCCCTCTCTCTTCCTCTCTGTAAAAAAATCAATAAAATATAAAATATATATATTAAAAATATATATATTAAAAAATATGTAAAAAATATATATTGAAAAAAAAAGGGACACCTTTGGAAAGACCCCCTGCCTACTGCCCCTCCTCCCCACACACACTCAAACCCTTCCCCAGGTCTCATTCCTGCCCACCCTCACCCTCCTCTGAGCCTGCAAACTCCCCTCCTCCTCCTCCTCCTCCTCCTCCTCCTCCTCCTCCTCCCTCCCCACCCTCCCCCAAGAAAGCGGCAGGAAACCCGGGCCCGCCGGAGTTCAGGTCACCTCCTGTTTTCTCTGATGGGCTCCAACTCGGGGACTAAATGAGCGGATGTGCCTGCGAGATCGGGTCCTCAAAATAGAAGCGGCCTCCGTATTTTTAGGATCCTGCCGAAATCCTTATTTCTTCCGGAGAAAAACTCTAGAGTGACTGCAAGCACTTCCCCCCTGGATATTTGTGCCATTTTATCTCCCCCGGCAAGTTGCTCGGGTGACGCAAATCCGCCCCTGTTGTATTAGGGCCACCGAAATAAATGCGCGGAAATCGATCCCCTTCTAGCGAGGAAAACATAAATATGCAGCTGCGACTTTCCCCTTTAATCTTGGCAGAACGAGCTGGTGGAAGAGCAATTGCGAGGGGCGGGCAGGCGAGGGCTCCCTGGCGGGCCTGGAGGCCGCAGACACCAGCAGGAGTGAAGAGGACCTGGATGAACCGAATGAACTTGAGCTTCAGCTGCGCTTGCCAAAACCGGTTTGGCTCAGTGGATAGCGGTTCTAGAGCACTGGCCTGCGGACTGAAAGGTCCCTGGTTCGATTCTGGTCCATGTATCTTGGCTGCAGGCACATCCCCAGTGGGGGTGTGTGCAGGGGGCAGCTGATGGATGTTTTTAACTCTCTATCCCTCTCCCTTCCTCTCTGCAAAAAAATCAATCATATATATATATATATATATATATATATATATATATATATATATATATATATATATTTTTTTTTTTTTTAATGTGGCTGCGCTGTTCTTGGGGGAAGCTCATGTGTCAAGATCATTTCACCCGAGACTGCATAGCTGCACCAGAAAATCACAATCCGCAATAAGAGCAATGGAGCTGAAACCGGTTTGGCTCAGCGGAGAGAGCGTCGGCCTGCGGACTGAAAGGTCCCGGGTTCAATTCCCGTCAAGGGCATGTACCTTGGTTGCGGGCACATCCTCAGTATGAGGTGTGCAAGAGGCAGCTGATCAGTTTCTCTCTCATCGATGTTTCTTACTCTCTATCCTTCTCTCTTCCTCTCTGTGAAAAATCAATAAAATACGTATATATTTTTTTAAAAAAGAGCAATGGCAGAGCGTTCTTTTTGCTGAAAGGTTCATTACACAGCTGGGGGGCGGGGTGGAGGGAAGGCCACCATAGAGGGGTTGCTGGTCACTTCTGATGACTGTCTTTAATGCATATGGCTCTTCCTTCCGTGTTCCTGGGCAGACACAGCCAAAGTCTTGCCCCATCCTGGGAAGGCAGGGTGCCTCAGAGGTTGGTTTTATAATGTAACGACGTGGTCTATGGGATCTGGGGTTGGAAGAAGGGGCCTGAATCAGAGGCGTGTGCACTGATTGGAGCAAGAGCTGGTTCCCATCACCCTCTGGCTGTCTGCAGAGCCTCCACACGTAAACCAGTGCAAATTCTTGTCCTGAAGTCTGGGGCCCAGCTCACACACCAGCTGAGCAGAAAAGCTCCACGAGAGTGAATGCTAAGCATTGCTGATGCAGTCACTGAACTCTGCAAGGGCTCAGCTGCTTTTGTCTTTTCTTACAGATTCTGGACAAAAAATGTATAAAAGGCCATTCCTCTATAGAATGACACACACACACACACACCCTTTTCATTTTAAATATTCTTTCCAATATGGTGCTTTCTGGCTTCCAGGAAAGAGGCGGAAACAGTTATATCTCCACAGGGAGGAGGAGAAAGAGACAAAGTACACGCAGCCGAGTGAGGACGTGAGGGCTGTTTGGCCATTTTGGCATCTGCACA